TATTGTAGGAATGTAAAGCTCTATATTATTTTTGTAGGAAATGTAAAGCTCTGGATTATTTTTTTTGGGAAATGTAAAGCTCTAGGTTATTTTTGTAGGAAATGTAAAGCTCTGTATTATTTTTGTAGGAAATGTAAAGCTCTGTATTATTATTATTGTAGGAAATATAAAGCTCTAGATTATTATTGTAGGAAATGTAAAGCTCTGTATTATTTTTGTAGGAAATGTAAAGCTCTGGATTATTTTTGTAGGTAATGTAAAGCTCTATATTACTATTGTAGGAAATGTAAAGCTCTAGATTATTATTGTAGGAAATGTAAAGCTCTAGATTATTTTTGTAGGAAATGTAAAGCTCTGGATTATTTTTTTGGGAAATGTAAAGCTCTAGGTTATTTTTTGTAGGAAATGTAAAGCTTCGGATTATTTTTGTAGGAAATGTAAAGTAGGAAATGTAAAGCTCTAGATTATTTTTGTAGGAAATGTAAAGCTCTATATTATTTTTGTAGGAAATGTAAAGCTCTATATTATTATTGTAGGAAATGTAAAGCTCTGTATTATTTTTGTAGGAAATGTAAAGCTCTGTATTATTTTTGTAGGAAATGTAAAGCTCTATATTATTTTTTTGGGAAATGTAAAGCTCTATATTATTATTGTAGGAAATGTAAAGCTCTATATTTTGAAGGAAATCTAAAGCTCTGGATCATTTTTGTAGGAAATGTAAAGCTCTAGATTATTTGTGTAGGAAATCTAAAGCTCTGGATTATTTTTGTAGGAAATGTAAAGCTCTATATTATTATTGTAGGAAATGTAAAGCTCTAGGTTATTTTTTTTAATAGGAAATGTAAAGCTCTATTTTGCAATGAAATATATTGCTAGGAAATGTAAAGCTCTAGGTTATATTTCTAGGAAATGTAAAGCTCTAGGTTATATTTCTAGGAAATGTAAAGCTCTAGGTTATATTTCTAGGAAATGTAAAGCTCTAGGTTATTTTTTTTTATAGGAAATGTAAAGCTCTATTTTGCAATGAAATATATTTCTAGGAAATGTAAAGCTCTAGGTGATTTAAACGACAGTATGGTGGAATTTTCTATCGGATGTCTAGAATCGAGAAATATTCTGTTGTTTAAACTTGGTTCTGAAGTGGCAGAAAGATGTACATTTAATATTAAAGTAAGTTTAGAGAGTTTGTAATAGGGTGTATTGAGGTGAGTCTCAATGAAAGCACTGGCAAAGTACAATGATCAGACAATCGACTTAGCTAACAGAGTTGTCTTAGCTTCTTTTCACCATTTTGATTTCTGTCCAGTTGGTGCTTCCAGTAAATCCATGAAAACTTGACTACATTATGACGTCATAACAAAACTCATTCAAATTGAAGCTAGTTTTTTCTCTGATTATAATATAAAGGCTAGAAAATCTCTGTAGAAAATC